AATGTTAACGTTTTTATTTTATTTCATGTATTTGTTACATATTATGTTATTTACATAGCTTTCTGTTCTCGTTCTTTACACAAACCTTAACTATGCTAAATCTTACGTTTTTCACAGAGAATATGCAATATGCATAGAATGGGTACAAGGTTTTCCCTTCACGTATTAATATATAAAAATATGGATATTTTGTGTCGATACACTCAGTGTGATATGTGGCGATATCATATTGCTTCCACAGAATATTGAAAAAAAAAATGTATTATAGTATTTGGTACACGACTGGAGCGATCGGATCTGTATTTTGAGTGGATCGTCCAATTTGTAGAAGCCAGCTTTTCACATTCGTTGTTGGTTCTGTGCGACTCGTAGATAGCGATGTCCAACATTTAGTATTGTTATTGTACCGAAACACGATATTATCACATGGCTTTGTATATATATTGTTAAAAGTTAAGTTACGGGTTATATTATACGTTCCACAGCCGAACAAAGGCTTCCTGTCATTTCCGAGGGTTCCGAAAAACTAGCCAATAGTCCACCTGATGGCAAGTGGCTGTTGGAGGCCATAGAGTAGACACCTGCAGCCAATCAAAAACAAAGAAGGCTACAAATGCGTTGTTTTTTTATAGAAGAGAGGGCAAACGAGCATGCGGCTCACCTGATGTTAAGTGACTACCGCCGCCATGAACAACCGCAACGCCAGGGGAATTGCTCTTTTTCTTGAAGGTCCCCAGGTCGTATCGGTCCGGAAAATCGCCGGTGGTAAACTATTCCACAGAGAGTTCTTACGCGGAAGAAAACTCCTAGTGAAACGTACAGTGCTGGATCGCCAATTATCTAGATGGTGTGGATAGTATCGGGAGGTTTCCGCGTAGTCCGTTCATGAGACTGACTAGAGAGTAGGAGTACCGGAAAAGATGCGTTAAGGCCAGTGCCAATTCAGTAGCACACGTCCTCAGCACAATTGCGGGGATACCGCCAGGCCCACTCGACTTGTAGATGTCCAGGGAGAGGAGTGCTTGCGAACCAAGCGCTGTCATCTCGGAGGACCAATTTGGAATGCACTTCATCCTGTAGTTATACTGGCACTGCTGCTTGGCGTCAGAAATAGTTAAGAGTCAGAAGAAAAGTCAATTATTTCCTAGTTACAAAAGGAGCCCTACTGAGCAGCGAAAAACGGCAGAACCGCAAAACAACAATTTGTACCTATTTTCGCACCAGACAACATACAAATACATTACAATTTACTGTGAATTATCTGCTGTGAAAAATATAACCTCCTAAAACAATTATTGTATATTATCAGAATACTTCCGTTCATAACAAGCTTAATATTAAAAAAAACAATCTGTGTAAGTACCGCACGTTAAAAGTGAAAATTTCTTAGCTAGTCACACTTCATTACTTTTGCAAACATTGTTTTTAGGTAATAAAGAAATATTTTAGGGGGTATTTTTATAATAAACTAGCGATTTGCCCCGGCTTCCCACAAGTGATATCTGGATTGTACAACAGCGCCACCTAACGAGTCCAACTATGCCTATAACCATTAGCGAGAGTGCAAGCAATATGTTGACAAAGTTTTACCGCTATATGACGAACGGTATGGCGGCGCATAAAATACGAACACACAAATATTAATTTTTATATACTTATTAGATTATTTGCTAGATTATTAGCTGTTTTATATGAAAAGGAATGATTATTGTCTATATAATACAAACGAATTTATAAATACATATCAATTTTATAAAATTTAATCAATTGTATTTTCTATTTTCAACATTAATTTCATACTTTTCCCCATCCCAAAAGTGCCCAACGTGATTTAATCAGTTTTCACTTTAGTAAAATATGTTACATATTTTAATACAAACGATTTATGTAACCTAGTTACATGTAACAGTGTCGTGAAAATCGATGGAAAAATATAGGGCAATAGAAGTAGGAAAGCTTTCATGAAAGTTCACTGGATAAGTATATCACTCTAATCGGTAGCAGGCTGCTTTGTCCAACAAGAAGTTGGGAAATAATTAAAAAAGCATGCAAATTGAAACTAACGTTCAAATCTTATCTATTTCAGCCGGCAAATAGCAGTGATTTCACTATTATGTTACGATCTGAAGGATATTGAAAGCCAGTATAATTAGAGGCATTCCTTCTTAATCCTCGGAAGAAGTCGGAGTTTGCTACAGTCCAAGTGACGGTATGTGACTATGTATAGTTCGTTTATGATATCAGTTTAAGTTTAAGCAAGGAAGTATCCACCGTGATACCACAGCATCATAAAATGTAACAAAATACAAAACCCGCAAACAATTCCACAGAACCATTTGACATGTTTTCTAGAATATTCTTCGGTACTACAGTTGAAGAATGACTATTCACTAAGAAGGTCGGAAGCCGTTTGCCGCGCAAAACATCCTATAACAGCTATTTTCGTTAAAGAACCTCATTCCTTTTGGGAAGAACTCAAAGCAAGTAATCGAAAATAAAATGTTCGTTCGTCTATTTGTATTAGTTTCACACATTGAAGTAATATGTACCTACCTACCTACACATAATAGCTCAACGGTTTCACCACAGACAATTCCTTACTAATCCATTCCTTCCCGCCTGATCAGTGCTCGTACCATTTATATACAAATAACTAAAACAAGGGTTTCCCGCGCCAACAAAAATTAAAAGCATCAGTTTAAAGAAATGGCAAACTGAACACCGTCAATTACCTAATTAGTCGTTACACTTTTATGAGATTAAGACTCTTCTTCATCAGAACGTAAGAGTCAACATTTGGACAAGGATCTCCGCATTGTATGCAAGATTAGCCTTTATTGTCACGCTTGGTGGGTTGATTGATTAATCGTTATACCACGTTTCGCACCTGTCACTGTGTACGCTTCTCGTCGCCAGTTGGGGTACCTTAGGCCTTGCGCTGAAGTAAGAGACTATTATACCGCCATCTATCGGTAGCCATAAGATCTTTTTGATATATCCCATAGTCCGCTCCTTTGACACAACGGAATGGGTATGTCAATTAATACATATTTAAAAATAATATATCCAGCTGTAGATTAATAATAATGCTGATATAGAAGCGATCTTAAAACGCTTTTTATTTTAATTTATATTTTTATAGAGTAAGTAATATGTGTGACAAATGAGTACACAGTACACCTGTTAGTAATTGGATGCTGTGCGTAGACACCTAGTTATCTATCCTCGAAGAGTTAAAATGTAGATGCGTTGTCCCGCAATACTTTTAGAATACAAGTCTCGATCGTCACCAGGAAAATGAGCCTCCGTCAACCGGTTCTCTACAATCGATATATGAAACACTGTAGCATTAAGCTACTATTTTAAATTGGTATGCTGTGGAAACGTGGTCCATCCCCAGTTTAGCCGACTCATTTTTTCTGCAACCGTAACGCAGATGTGTATAATAAATAATTTTGGTTTGTCGTTTTATATCACGCTTTGTTTTTAGAACACGTTGAGTTGACTCCGATTTTCAAGACGTTGAATTGAATACAGGTGTGGCAGTGGGTTCAAGCACGCCATTTGATTATTGCGATAGTAGTGCGTCAAGTTGCGGAAAGGTAATCTAAATGGATCTAGGCGCCAGTTTGCGCGTTGGCGCAGGAATCCGGTAACAATTGGCGGGTCGCCCACGCCAGCACGGCACGGCCCATGAACTTACGACAGCGCTTTGTTGCCTTATAAATTTATAAGTGCGATGAACTGTTACGTGATTTTTATACGAGGTAGAGCCATGCTGCTGTCATATTATGGTTGTGGTACGGCTCGACCGGGGAGGGCCACGCTCTTATAGAATACCAGCGTAAAAAATCAGCTAGATGCTGCTGTGTTTCATATCGTGACTGTAGAGAACTGGAGACCCCTTGTGGTGGAAATGGGGCAAATCCATCTTAGTCTTCAGAGGTGACAACGCATTTGCATTTTCATTCTTAATCGAAGATTGATCTAGGGGGTCACAGCATCCTCATATTATCAGGTGTGCTGAGTGCTCGCTTGTCATGCTTTTTTTAATTTAATTGTTTATATTTTAAGTGTATTTTATTGTAAATGCTTGTTGTTATTTAAGATTTGACAGTACGGTAGTACAATGGCTACATTTTGATTATGGCCCTGCGGGTCACATATTGGAATCCCGCACACTGTACGGCACAAGTATTTGTATGGCTTGACTTACAAATAAATTTTCCGGATCTGGATATTTTTCCATGTTAAGTTTATATATTCAGAAATTAATGAAATGAGATATTATTAAATTAAAGGTTAAGAACTTTACCAAAAAAAGGAAACATTATGACAGACATATATATATAAAGTATAAATTTTTGTGCTCAAATATTGGCCTAAGATAGGCAGTAAGAACTGTTTTAAATGGCAGATATAGGTAATTATTCTTTACGAAATAAATATCAAGCTATCAAGTTCGATTATAGAAGCACCCTTACATAACAGTCTGAGCAATATACAATCAGGTGTTTTTTGTAATTACTTTTCAGACAGGCGCTTAAACGTATTTGCTGAAAAAGCTTTACTCTGAAAATAAAACTATAAACATTTTCATTTAAAAATGAAAATGATTAAAAAAGCAGCAGCTAAGTATTATGGTGTTAGTATTGATTACAAATATTTATAGATGTATGTCAGTGTGAAATTTATGTGTATGTACTGCCACCACGGTACAGGAGAAAATCTCATTACTGAGAGCAGCCCCCGAGGACAAGCAAAAGTCCGCCGCGCTGTTTCATCAGAATGATTTCGTTCATGACCACATTCGGGGGAAGCACCACTTAAAATTGTAATTAAAAGCTGTGCGCATCGAGATCGGTTTGGTCGGGCACTACGCTTTTTTTAATATTCTTTCTTTTTATTCTTAAATTAAAAAAAACGTATTACGAAACTTTAACCTACCACTGCCAAAATTGTGAGAATTTCAAAATTTATAAACAAAAAAGGAAACTAACCTTTGTCATCGCTTTTCTGTTTGGGTGTCTTTTGCCATTGGTGTCGAACTTTCTGCGACCAGCTGATCGGGCTTTTTCTTCCGCGACTTCTTTCGCGCACGCTGTAAGCAATAATTTCCATTTTTATTACATGTATCATTGGTATTATAACTGCATGAAATTAATCACTAAAACTGTATAACGTATGTGTCCCACTTTCGCATATTTTTCACAGACTGTGGCAATTGCGAATCAAAATCTAGTATCAAACCAGATAAAGGTGTTTGTTCAAGGCTTTGGATAACACCTTATATTAACAATCGGTTTTATAGGTCATGCAGGTATTGCTATGAGAATAATTACTTTTATGTTTGAAATATTCATTGATTTTTTTCCAGGCAGTGATATATTTAATTAAAAGAATTATACGTATGTATATTGTATATATATATATATATATATATAGAGATATATATATATATATATATATAAATAAAAAGAGAGAGAGAGAGAGAGAGAGAGAGCAAATATTATAATAATTTCGTTTTCAAATCAAAGCCAAGAGCTGTATTAGTTACAAAATGAAAATGACTGTTGTACGAGTAATGTACTCGAAACGTCGGAAATTAATATTAAGTTAAAATTGAACGTAAGTAATAGAATCCGTAAAATTATTTTAATTTAATACAAAATGACCTTAAGTAAACCAATATAAAAAAAAAATTGTACATAATTTAAGGTATCCTTAGCAGGAGGCTTTGTTTTTTACATTATGGAGTCAAATAATGGAAGCTTTAGAAATTGAGTTCCTTTGGTATCGCAAAATAATAAGGTGCAGTAGATATTTCGTTTCGTGTGCTCAGTACGGTCAGCGCACCTGCCTGGCCCAGTTAAACCAATAAGTATCCAGTCTCATGTATTATGATTGTCGAATTAGTACTTTACATGACTGGAAGATTATCTGTTTAATTTTAAATATCAAATGATAAGCTAGCTAACATTACAAACGCTATATAGGTCAGGGGCTACGTGCTTGCTGTTAAATGTACTCGAGTAACCCTGGTGCGATTCTTTTCGGAACCAAAATAGTTATTAGAGATTTTAGTGCAGAAATTTCTTTGGGAAAAGTGGTGATGGCGAAGGTCATTCGGCGGTGCGAGAAAACATCGTGCATTCAGCAAAAGTAAAGTTACAGCCTATACACGCCGATCGCTAGGGACAGGCCTCTCCTGATTGAAAGGGTTATAGGGCATGGAAATGACCGCCGCGCTGCGCTGTCCCTATTTCGCACAGATCGAGCGCTAACCTGAGATGTAGTACTCTATTTTTTGTATAGAATAAGGATTACACTAGTACACAGTCAACATTTTGGATTAAGAATAAAAAAGCAGATATGCGTTGTCACCACTGAGAGCCAAGATGGAATGCCTTGTTTCTAGTATAGGATCTCGGGTACTCTACACTCCATACGAATCACAATAGCATTAAGCCACTATTTTACGGTGGTATTCTGTGAGAGCGTGGTTCTTCCTCGGTTGAGCCGTCCCAATCGTGCTACAACTATATAGCTGCAGCAAGACTCCACCACGTGCTAAAAAATCTGCGAAATCCACATGAATTTGAATTTTTTTTAAAAATTCAGACATGTAGGTTTCCTTACGAGGCTTTCCTTCGCCGCCGTACACTGGAAATCAGCACTTAAAATTGAAATCTCATTGGTGCCGGTGGGGATCGAACCTGGGTTGCTCGCGTAATGTGATATTTACAGCCGGCGCTAATCCCCCGTCTACGTGCTTCTAAAGTTAGTATAAAAATAAAAATATACAACTCACATAACAATTTTCTGCTCGTCAGTCTTTTCTTCATCAGAGACGTCGACCCAGTCGTCGCTCCGGTCACTCCTGTCACTGACGCTGGTTGTGCTACTCGGTACTTGGAAGGCTATTTCCTGACCGTTGTAACTCATTACGGAACGCTGTCCGTATATGCTATTAGTTTTCTGCTCACTAGATAGGGTCGACTGACTAATGTTAGACACGTTATCAAATGACAACCGTTTCTGGACTGCACTAGCGAGCTGCTTCTTCAAGTTGTTCCTCAGCTTCACCATACTCGGACTGTTCGGTATACTTTCATAACAATGCGAAAGTGACGTACCATCTCCTTGTTTAATGGTATCATAGATGTTTTCACCACCGTTATATCCGGAGTAATCAGAGGCTACGAATGAATGGCTCCTACTGTAGTTGGGACTGCCCTCTTTTGATTTGAGTCGTGGAGGAATTTTTTCATATATCCTCTCTGAACCAATTTTCTCGTAGCTTACAGTAGAAGTTCCACTGACGGATTTCGAAATTGCATAATTTTTATTGTTGTTTTCGGTTCCGTATGGCTGATAGTCCTCAGCTATTTGAATTCCCGAACTGGAAGTAAGACAGTAGGGCTTAATGGGTGATTTGCAATATTCGTAACCATCATCACTGTCACCGTCGCCTCGAGTTCTCTCTTCGAACTGATTAAAGCAGAGCTCGTAATTATGTAGACTGCTCTCATCACCTTCTGGATGAGATCTTGCTTCTAGAAGTGATTGATAAATGTTTTCTTCCTTAGAAGGCGACAATTGCGGACTCTCTTTTGGTATTTCAGGTAACGGACAATTTATTTTTGATGATCTATCAATACTTTTTACAGGAATTATCACTATATTGTCAGTGTCCCTTGGTTCTAGTTCTTCATAATCATCCTCGATTACCTCCTCTTTTTTCGGTTGAGTAGTAAAACCCACAAGTACTTCTTTGTTAAAAGCCTCGACTAGATTAGTTTCAAAATCTGAGTTTAAGTCACATTTGAGATTTTCGGTCGCTGAACCAGCGTGAGATTCTTTGTTTGCATCTGCTTGAGATTCCTTAACAGTATTAATTTCTTCTTCATACGTGGAAGTGGTTTCATTAATTGTTACGCTAACGAAACCATAAGGACCTTCAGAAACTGTCTTATCACAATCAGAATAAATTTGACTGTTACTTTTTCGTCTCCAAAGAAAAGACTCATTAGGTGTGATACTTGACTTGATAACTGTTTCATCTTCTTTTTCTGTTTTATTTGATATGACTATAGTTTGTTCATTTATAACTGTTTTCGACACTAAACATTCATCGGCATCTTCTTGAATAATTTCTACAGGTCGTAAGGTTAATTTTTCAGGGTGTATATAATTAGTTTTATATTTCTTCTTGTCATAAATAGGTTCTTTCTTTTTGATATTTTCCAAATATGTTTTGCTATTTTCTTGTTGCAAACTTGTGTCTCCTAAAAATGGTTTAATCGTTTTAATTTTTGGAACACCATCTTTAACTACAAGATTTTTTGTTAAAACTAATGATGATTTCTTTTCAGGTATTTTAGGCTTTTCTTTTCGTGGTGTTATACTCGTTGAATTACTGCTTTGTGTAAGATTATGATGTTTTATTAAAGCATTATTTGAATTACAGGAGTGAGCAATAATTTCACATTCAAATTTCTTGATAACATCTTTTACAACATTGAGTTCTTGTTGTTGTTTATCCTCTCCAATAGTTGTGTTCGTGGCTTTTAATTTGATTGGTGTGCCATCAACAGAGTCTGAACCACTTTGTTGCTCACTAGAATCATTATACTTTAACCTTTTCTTTGGTGATTTCGGAATCCTGTTTCCATCCGATTTAGACCTTATTATTCTGACTTTACCTGAAGAACCTTCAGTTAAAAATAATTTGTCAATTGAATCCATACTTGAACATCGTTTTTTGCTATTACGTTTTTTAGAACTTCTTCTATGTCGTACAACGATTTTGATATTAGGACTAGAACTCAAGGTAGAAGATGGAGTGGAGCTGTTACTTACTGAGCATCGAGACGCTACCTGTAAATCTCCTATAGTTTTTGCAAGTTTAGACTGCTTTAATGGCCCTTTATTTGGTTCTTTCATCAAATCGTTAAACTTTTTCGTCAATTCTGACACTTTATTACCCTTTATTGTCATTGTAGTTTTAGTTGCCAGAGGTGGGCGCCTGTAAGTGGTCGAAACGTTCTTTATTTTAAAACTTACTTTTCTCTGTTGCTGTTCGACTTTTTTCTTGACATTACTTGCAACATCTGTAGGTGATAATGTAGCCGAGATGTCTTTTAAATTTTTTGGTTCACTCGGCACTTTTTCAAAATCTTTTCCTCCACCTGTACTTCTTGTGTCTTCACTTTCTGTGGTAATAGCAATTTGCGCGTAGTGTAATGTAGCTTCTTTGCTTAGATTCCTTTGAGGTATGTTGACGGTTGAGTTTAAGAAAACTTGTTGCGCGTTAGTTCTCGCATTTTTGGGCGACAGTGACGACTGTATCGGTATCGTGTAAATGCATTTCTCGTTATCACTTTGTCTGTCCTTTACGGCCATGTTTGTTTCGGGTAGGATAAAGTTCTTTAGGAGAGCTTTAATGGTGCCGTGTTCTCTTCCGTCGTTATTAAACCTTTTGATCGACGATATCAAATTGTTTGCGGGTGAAGATTCGCCTTCCATCAGATTATTTAATAGCATCTGTGTTGGATATCTCTGACTGGTTTTCTACGCCATCTGGAAAAAAAAAGAAATCTATATTGGAAATACTTATGCATATACATTAGTGATTTATAACTCAAAACTAGAAAACATATCAATATTGGTGATTACCTAAACCACTGGTACATTAGAAATTACGTTTATTAAACGATAAATGTTAAAGAAATTAACAGTTTTTACGTCTAATGAAAGTGCATTTGAAATTGTAACTGACTTAAATTTTTCACACATTCAAATTCATTTTCACACACATTGTGTTTATTGTTTTTGTTTTGCTTTAACAAGTTCTCACGAGATTGCCACTTTGATTTGATCTGGATATGTAATCTATACGAATGATTAGCTAACATATGTTGATAACAAAATGAATTCCCATCATTCTTTAACAATCGATGTAACGGAGTAAACAATTGAATTGTAAATGATACCTGAATATTTAGTGTCTTTTTAAAACGTTAACGTTATTATTGCTACATACATAAGCTTATTACTTGAAAAATATTTTAATCGATTGGATGATCGCTAAATGAAAAATGAGTTATGGACTCTTTATGTTACAAAATACCCCGTAAAAATATAATTAAATATCAAAGCCAAAAATGTTGTCAACCCTAGTAAGCTGTCATCTCAGGGAACCAGATTATTTAACAGAAAGGCCTACGTACCTACTTTACCTAATAATTGTCTACTTTAATAGTTTTTCTATTTTTCATTTTTAAATGTTTGCTACCTCAATACAAGGATGTCATTATACTCAAATACTGGCTTTAAAAAATGTCAAGTTGTAAAAATAATATGTTCTCAAATCAAATCTTCTAATTGATATCCTTCAATTGTTTCGAGTGTTTTTCCAACATTTTGTGCAAAATAACGATGCTTTCTAACTCGGAATATTACGATATGATGTTATGCCATGAAGATAGAAATTTAAATCGTGTTCGCGAACCGTATCGGAAATGATTTATCGATGGTAGAACCCCCACTGAACAGCGACGGCTGCCTTCGTACCAGTGTTTTCTGAACATGTCAAGACGACTACATAAATATAAATATATTATATATATTTATTACTACATAATATAATTGTGTATTATTGTGTCCAATATAAAAGAGCGATCCTCGCCATCAAACGTAAAAGTTTGGCGAGTTTAGAATTAAATAACACCACTGTATTATAAATTCATTAATAAATTAAATAAAAAAGAGAACGACGAAATAAGTAGGTAATGTAAATCGTGTTTTCTTCTACTTTTTGTCTTTGCCTCTCATAAACATATAATATTGCCTTGTATGATAATAGTCAATCGTTTTATAAAAAGTTAAAGTTACAGCCTATAAATGCTTCATAGCAAGGCACAGGCCTTCTCTCATTTCTGAGAGGGTTTTAGCTTTTAGGGCAAGGAAATGTCCGCCACACTGCCCTACTGCGCTTTGGCGATCTTCACATGTCTACAAAATCATTTCATAGAGTTGGAGAAAATGCAAACTTATTTCAAAAGTCAAAAGTTAATTATTAGATGCGAACTTTAATCAAATGTATTTGAACTTCCAATGCAGTGCCATGTTTAAATTTTAGTATGTGTATGTCGGAATCGGAACTCGCAACGGCATAAAAACGTTAGATTTTATAATATATAGAAAGAAGCTGATAATATTACCAGAGTATGTTTTCTCACTCAAATAACAGCGAATTGAAGATATAGTCTATAATAATATTAGTTTAAGAAAATTTAAACCATACTCATAAATCATGAGCTGCCATGATTCTAGTGAGAACACTGGGACATAGTCATTAAATATACTATCGTCATGGGTCCTTGATACGAGTGCAAATTTTCAAGTCAATCGAACGGCTGCAAGTTAGTGAAAATTATATTAAAATATTCTGTTACCTAGACAGATAGATATATACACGCGTGTTAAAAATGATTTCAATTGAGGTTAGTTAGTACGTATCTCCGCGAATAATAATCATTGTTCAGACGAGACAGGCGGATGGTGGTTTGTTTCGTTGCAGTTTTACCGTGTATTTGAATAAGCAATGGACGCTCATACGTGTCAAACGGACAATGGCGCTGAGATAGCCAGTAAATATTTTTGGATTAATAGTCTGAAATTTAAATGCAACTGTGTGAAAAGTCGCCACTAAGACTTGGTAATGAACTACTGCTCTGCCTAGAATATAATAAAATAGTATAACTTTTAATCAATATTAATTTTACCTAAGAGTACCTATTTACTAGGAGTCCGTCTAAGTAGATACCTACCATACCTATTTCTGCCGCCAAAAAAGCTGCACTGCTGGGTTTCGGTGTGAGAGTTATAAACATCTAGTATAATAACAGACTGTTCCACTATCTAAGTATATAGGTGACAACGCACCTGAAGGCTTTATTTCAAATTGGTTGCGAACTATATATATTATGTGAAATTTGTTTTTACCTCTTTGAGTGGAGTAAGGAATATCATAAGTTTAAGGTCAGAATTGTAAGCGGCAACAGAAAGAAACGAAGTAGGAGATGGGGAACGACGTCTTGCTAATAACAAACATTTTTTTATAACAATTTGTTATATTTTATTATAGAAGAGGGGGCAAACGAGCATGCGGCTCACCTGATGTTAATTAAGTGACTACCGCCGCCCATGATCAACCGCAACACCAGGGGAAGTGCAGGTGGGTTGCCGGCCCTTTAGAAAGGAGTAAACTCTTTTCTTGAAGGTCCCCAGGTCGTATTGGTCCGGAAAAATCGCTTTTGTAAGGATGGTATCGCAAGTTTTGTCGTGATATACGACGGTGAAATTGAGCGGCTGGAATTAATCCGCACTCCTCTGAGTACTCCCCGTGGTAAATACGATAGAATACGAAGAGATGCAACATCTCTTTGCAGTGCCAGCTGTGCCAGCGAGTCTAGCCGATCAGAAAGTGTTCCCGTCGCCGACGATTCGACCGCTCTGCGCTGGATGCGATCAAATGATGCCCAGAGATGGAACAATATTCCATGTGAGGCCGAACCTGTGCCTTGTAAAATTGCAGGCGGTGTGCCAGCATGAAATACTGTTCCGCTCTGCTAGGTACGTCAAGCTTTTTAGAAGCCAATTTGGCCTTCTTTTTCAAGTGACTATGAAACTGCACGTCATTCGATATGTCGACGCCGAGGATTCCGATACTGACTGACTGACTGACTGAGGCAACAAGGGGAGTCAATACCTTGCAACTGAGGAGACACGATATAGGGGTTCTTTACAATAACAATTTACGGCTGCTGTGTTTCGTATGGTGAGTGCAGAAAACCGGAGTCCCTTTTTTATTGGAAACGAGGCATTCCATCTTAGTCCTCAAGGATAACAAAGCATTATCATTTTGATTCTTAGTCGAGGATAATGTAGATGTCTACACACATACAATTACCATCAGGTGAACTGTATGTTCGTGTCACCCTTATTCTGTAAAACAAACATACGCGTCCAATATAGTAGGTAATTTATTGATTTTGGAACTCAATTAAAAAAGACTACATATTTGTAACTACTATACGGCAAGGAACTGATGTATACGTTTTTACGTAATATAATTCAAATTCAAATTGTCACATTACTAATTTAAGAAAGTACATTATTGATAGGGACCCATATAGGCATAGCATCACCAAATCACCAAATAATAACTATAATTAAGTTACCTATAATTTTTGAAGCTTATAATAATAACAAATGACAGTTAAAATAATGTAGCAATTGATAACATTATCCAATATGATAAACTAAACTAATTATAGATAACTTACCATATTATAACGTTGGCTAAGCTACTATTAATTACGTCATAAATAAAAATAAATAAGTAATTCGCAGACATTAATATCAGGAATCGTGTTGACTGGTGGGTTTTTGTAACAGCTGCTCATAATATGCGAACTGTTTACGCATTGTTAGAATAACGCTGTTTCCGTTATAATTAAATGAACACCAGTGTGAGTATTCGACTTGCATATGTGTGCATATTTTCATATAAAACAAGTTTCCGTTAACGACATGTCTTTCTTAAATAACCGTTTAAAAGATACAACCTCAATATTTATAAAACTCAAATTTCAATGTTGATGTTTTTTTTTATAGTTTTGTTTCTCAAAAGGAAAAAATGGAACCCATATACTTATATCATTTTGTTTTCCGTCTTTCTATTGGCATGTCATTTCTCTGCAAAGAGTTGATGTATCAAGTAGAAATTAATATCAAACACTAAAGTCATTCACATATTTTGAAACAAATAAACTACCTATAGGCTACATAGTAACTATTAGGCTTTCCGTTGACCTTGAATCATGAAATTTGGCACGAAGGGAGAACAAAGGAAAAAATAAAATTAAACCGTTATTTTAGGTAGCCTTGGAATATCTCCACTCACCATTTATTTCGTACAATAACAATGCTCTCCAACATGTTAAGAATCTCGGTCTGTAAGTTGATAGCTGTCTTTCATGGAACGAGCAGATCCAGGAGCTAAGCCGCAATGTTACTGCAACATTACTATCTTTTTATCGCCTGAAAATGTTTCTTCCATCCGCTACAAGTATCTTGCTTGTTCAATCTCTTATTCTGCCGACAATAGACTGTCACACGTCGTGTTGCTCAAATTATCTCAACAACATCTACATTAGATCGTTTCCTCAGATACATTTATGGTCTTCGTAAATATGACCATTTATCTTCTTTTTTTATTCAACTTATACTAATGATTTCTTATATTTACGCGAACACTACACATTGATTAAAACTACTTTTACTGATTTTATCGCGTTTATTTTCACGTATCATCCTTGGTACCAACCATTACATCAGATTTGATAGACCACAAATCCTCGCGAAAGAACACCGATTCCTACCAAGGATGATACGTGAGGCTATTGAAATTAAAAAACATCCTAATTTCAATAGAGAAGGAGGCTGGGTACTACCACCTG